GCAAAAAAACGGAAACTAGAATCCATGTTATGTCACCACTATACTAAGATTAACTCAAATGGATATCAGATCTGAATATTCAGCACACACAAAAACTCTAAAGTTGATACAGGAAAGAGTAGGAAATACTCTGGGAATTAGAGGTATAGGTGGAAAAATTTCTCAAACGAAACCCCAGCAGCACATTTCAACTAAGGAGATAACATAGAATAAATGGGACCTCATAAAACTAAAACTCTTTCATCAAAAGAAATGGTCCTAAAACTTTAAGGAACACCCACAGAGTGGGAGAAAATATTTGCCAGCTATTACATTCAGACAAAAGGACTATAACCAAGAATAATAGGGAACTTAAAAAACTAAATTCTCCAAAACTATGAACCAATAAAGAAAGGGCATGTGAACTAAACAGAACTTTCTCAAAAAAAAGAAATTCAATGGCCAAAAAACACATTGAAAAAAATGCCACCATCTCTAGCAATAAAGGAAATGCAGAATTAAAACCTAAGCTAAGATTCCACCTCACCCCTGTTAGAATAGCCATCATCAGCAATACACAACAACAGGTGTTGGCAGATGTGGGAAAAAGGAACCCTCTTACACTGTTGGTGGGAATGTAAAGCTAGCACAACCACTCTGGAAAAAAATTTGGAGGCTACTAAAAAAGCTAGACATTGATCTACCATTTGATCCAGCAATACCACTCTTGGGGATATAACCCAAAAGACTGTGACACAGGTTACTCCAAGGCACCTGCACACCCATGTTTATTGCACACTATTCACAATAGCCAAGTTATGGAAACAGCCAAGATGCTCCCCCATGACAAAATGGATTAAGAAATGTGTATCTATACACAATGGAATTTTATGCAGCCATGAAGAAGAACGAAAATGTTATCATTCGCTGGTAAAATGGATGGAATTGGGAGAACATCATTCTGAGTGAGGTTAGCCTGCCCAAAAGACCAAAAATCGTATGTTCTCCCTCATATGTGGACATAGAACAAGGGCAAACAGAAAAATGGGATTGGACTTTGAGCACATGATAAAAGCGAGAGCACACAAGGGAGGGGTGAGATAGGTAAGACACCTGAAAAACTGCTAGCATTGTTTGCCCTTAACGCAAGAGAAACTAAAGAAGATTACCTTAAAAGCAACTGAGGCCAATAGAAAGGGGACCAGGAACCAGAGAAAACGTTAGATCAAAAAGAATAACCTAGAAGGTAAAACACACACACACAGGAAATTAATGTGAGTCAATGCCCTGTATAGCTATCTTATCTCAACCAGCAAAACCTTGTTTCCTTTCCTATTTTTGCTTATACTCTCTCTACAACAAAATTAGAAATAAGGGCAAAATAGTTTCTGCTGGGTATGGAGGGTGTTGGGGGTGAGAGGGAGGGGCCTAGTGGGTGGTAAGGGAGGAGGTGGGGGCAGGGGGGAGAAATGACCCAAGCCTTGTATGCACATATGAATAATAAAAGAAAAAAAAAACTAAAGACAAAAAAAGATGGATCAAAGCAGCAAGAGGGATGTGACACCTCACATACAGTGGATCCTCATTAAGAGCAAGAGCTAGTTTTTCTTCAGAACTCAGGGACTCCAGAAATATAGATATGAAGTACTGATTAGTTACATGGTCAACTAAATATCACCCATGTACTCCCAAATCTTTCCATAATAAATACAAATTAATGCATTCAAAGGTAATTCTTTAAAAAATACCTAGGTACTGACTCTGAAATTGTTCTTTCCTGAAACAAACTCTAAAGAACTGAACTCCCAGGCTGAAACCAAGATACTAAACAATAAATGAAAGTCATAAGTTCATAGTCATCAATACCTATAAAGTAAATATGAAAGGTAATATTACTTTACTTTTTGTATGTCATGTCTTTTAAATTTCTACATGGTTTTTTAATGCATAAAACAGTTAAAATATAGATTTTTTTAAGACACAGCATGGTATGGCATTGCTTGGGATAAATGAGAATGGTATATGTTGGCAATTTGAAGCTAACTCAGTATAAATTCAAAGTAGAATGCTATAAACTTAGGGTATTGACAGTAATACCCATGATGACAACAAGAAAATAACTTAAAACACACAGAGGAAAAAAAGAGTTAATTAAAAAGTAGAAAATAACTAATCACACAAAAATGAGTCAATATTAGCAGAAAGGAAGAAGACAAATGATATATGCTATGTAGAAGAAATGAATTAGATAGAGCAAAGTTGATCACTATGGCTAATAGTGAATAACTATTAGAAAGGATTAAAATTATAAGTTTAAATACCAATACAGAAGGAACTATGACTGCAAAAAACCCAAATGATTTGCTGTCTATTAGAAACTCACTTTATGTCCAAAACACCAACATATCAAACGTGAAAGAATATAAAATGAAGTCCTGCAAATAGTAGCCTAAGAGAGCTAGGATGCCTTTAGTATCAAAGAAAATAAATTTTTAAGTAAAATTTGTTAAAAGCAGAAAATGAGAATGTTTCATATTGGATAAAAGATTGGGTCCTTCAGAGGATAAAACTTTATTCATGTATATGCATTAAGTACTGAGGCCCAAAATATATGAAGCAAAAAATGACACTACAGAGACAAATACTCAGTTCTATAGTAATAGGAGATTTCAGTATGTAAGTTTCAACAATTCATAGCAAATACAATCAAAAGTTTTATCAGGTAATGAAGATTTCAACAACTAGATATCTAACAGACATACTGAACTTTTAATCCAACAACAGAACATAACTTCTTTTCAAGAGCACATCAGACATTCCCCATATATCATCATATATTACCATACATCAAAGACATATAAAATCCTCAGTAAAATTTAAAATTTCAAATCATAAAATATATCTTTTTTATCACAATGGAATGTAACTAGAAATCAAAAAATAAAATTGGACTTCAAGCAAAATGCTCTTGAACACCCAATGGATTAAAGACAAACTCAATACAAAAACTAGGAATTATTGAGAGAATGAAAAGCAAAACATGCTATACCAAACGACGATCGATAGCAAAACAAAATACTTAGAGACAAAGTTCAACCTCTGAGCATCTATTCTACAGTTGAAAACAGTGCTTACACTGATGACACAAATTTACATCCTAGGAATTCATTTAAAAAAAAACCACCAAACAAGAGCAAAAATAACATAAAAAAGAAAATAGGAAAACAACAAAATAATCACTGAATCCAAATACTGGTTTGAGGAAACAATTGACTAAACTGAAAAATCATAAGCTGGATGAACTCTAAAGAAAAAGCAGATACAAATGACTACATTAATAACTGAAGCAGAGGCATAACTACTGAATTTACATAGAGTTATGAGAAAGTGATATAAACAATTCTACTCCTACAAATTAAATAATGAAAATAAATGGAAAAGTACATACTCAAGTGATTCAGGATCAAATGAAAAATGTGAATATTTGTGACAAATAACAAGTAATTTGATTGCAATCAATTTATAAGTACAAAATCAAAAGAAAGAAGGGTACATCACTATATGACTACAATGATAAATTTAACCAAAAGTTTTGATTCTGTTACATGTAAGTGGAAAATGGAAAATTATTCTGTCACAAAAAGAAGGGAGTATATATTGTACAATATAGATGAGCCACTAAAAAATTATGCTAAATGAAGAATCCAAAAACAAAATGTCACATATGCCATCCGCGATAAGCAAGACCACAGAGAAAGAAATCAGATTAGAGGATACTATAAGTTTAGGTGGGAAAACAGTGACCATTTATAGATATAGGAAGCTTTGAGGATGTTTAGTTTTTAAACTATAGAGAGATGCTGCTTGCAGAAAAATGTAAATGAATTAATACTATCACATTTTAATTGCATGGCATGTGGATTACACTTTAAATTTTTAAATGACTTTACTCCTTGAACTGATATTCAAATTTAACACAAGCATGGTCAAAATCCCCACTGACTTCTTTATAGAAATTTGCAAACTCATTCTAAATTTCATTTGAAAATGCTAGGGTTACAGAGTAGCTTAAAAAACCTTGAAAACTGAGAGTTGCAAGACTGACACATCTTGATTTGAAAACTTGATTTAAAGCAATACTCAGGAATTGTGAAGATGGTGCACTATTGGCAAAAGAACAGAACTACAGGATAATATAGCAGAATTGAAAGACTACAAACAAACCCTTATGTTTACAGACAATTGATTTTTGGAAAGAACGTGAAAGAAAGTCAATGGGAAAAAATAGCCTTTCAATAAATGGTACAATGACAGCATTGTTAATACTTCCAGGTTACCTGAACACATATGTACAACTCCATGTCTCTGAAAATTCATTTGAATTAAAGCCTTCACAATTTCATGCTCTTGTTTTTCTTAAAGCACAGTATTGTGTACTCAATTGAGTATTCAACTGAGTCCTTCTTAAATTCCCTCTCCTCTTTATGTTTACAAATATTATATTTCAATCAGTACACATACAGTAGTCTTCCTAGAATAAGCCATTCTTTTTCTTTCTCCAATACAATGTGTACAATGATAAAGTAATCTCGTATTAGGGCATATTTTTCCTCAGCTGATGACTTTTCTCTCATTGATGATTATAATAATGTTGATGATAATGATTTTCTGTGTTTTGTGTTTTGTCTGTTTAATTTTTGAGACAACATTTCACTATGTAACTCAGACTGGCCTAAAACTGACAGTCCTCTTGCCTCAGTCTCAAAAATGTTAGAAATGTAAATGTGTATTTCAAGTACTGGCTTAGAAATTTTTGTCTGAAAAAAAAGGTTCAAGATATTCTAATTATTGAAAAATTTAATTTTATTTCATCTACAATGCTTAGTAGATATTCATATACACAAAAGGTACTCAGTGTGTTTCTCAAATAAAACTGTCCTGACCTTTTAAACAATCCTATAAAGTACAGAACTATTCAATAAACAATGAGGTACTCAAATATTAAAATAACTGAGCTGATGTTAACGTCTCACCTCCTCCATTTTTATCAGGAAACAATCAATAAAATCTCGAGGATTGTTAATGTCCAATGAGGCTTGGTGTTCTTTTACTTTCTCCAAAACATAAGTTCTCATTTCAGAAATATTTTTAAGCACTCTATTATGACTTCCTGGGAAGTAATCAATGATAGCAGGGAAAATATTGCATATCTACAAAAGAAAAGAATACCTTACTCAAAAAATGAATGAAGATGGATGACCCATATAGCAATCACTGGCTAGAAAGTATAGTTCATAATAAATTATGGTGTCTCTATTGAGGTACAATTTTACTGCAAGTCTAAAGTTATTCTCTGTGCATATGTAAAAATTTGTGGGAGACAACTCTAGTAAGAACTTCAAAAATGGAAACATTCTCTGTACTCATGCAGGACCATTATTCTTCAAAATATTTTCATTAATTCACTCATTTTCTATACTTCCCTTCAATGTTGAATGGTAAGATGGTGTGAACTAATGTAAATCACATTTGGTAGATGACAACACAGATTAAGGAACCTGGAGTAACCTTATCTACAGTACAAAGCTAGCCCCTACTGTTTGTTTGTTTGTATGTATGTATGCATGTTTTTTTGGGGGGAGGGGGTTGAGACATGGTCTTGTTATGAAGCGCAAGCTGTCCTGAAAATCACTATGTAACACACACCGTTCTAGAAATTGTGATCTTTCTGTCTCTACATTCAGAATTCTAATATGTGTGCTACTATACCCAGCTGTAGTCCTTGCTGTTTTTATTTCTATGAGTCAGTTTCAGATATAACACAGAATGAGTGTGATGGAAGTAGGAAGTGCTCAATGATGTCTTGAAACACATTTGTGTCCCAGAGTAGTTAAATGGCTTCTTTCTTATCATACAAGTATTATTTAGTAAGTGTTCAGAACAAAAAAAGTTATGCCTTTTTATGATTCATACACTATAAATCTTTCCTACCTGAGCAATATTCTCTGCTAGAATGCTAACTGAAGATCAAACATCTCACCCTACTCAGTGATCCCTAGAACTTTTCATTGTCCTTCCTGGAAGAAGATAACCTCTTCCCAAATTAAAATATCTCTGATAATTCCTGTGATGAAGAAGTCTCTATGTGTTGATTGAGAGATAAGCTATCTGGGTAATGAAAGCTTTGGGGAAAAAGTTCCTGAATCCTTGAGAGGAATGAACACCTTTAGACAGGTACCAAAAACACTTAGATATCTAAAAGAAAACCATGAAGAAATATCTCCACCTTTCTTTTCCTGAATTTAAAATAAATAGCTGAAGAATGCTCTAGCCAGCAACGTGATATCCAAAGATTCACTTTTCCACTCAGTCCATATAGAATTTTGAACACATCACTGAAAAGACCTAAGATTTGTCAGGAAGACAGGATTTTAGCCACACCTGCATCCATGGGGAGCCCAATATCCTGAAGTTTTCATTGAATCTTTTCATAAGGACAAGAAAATTCTGATCTTTATAATCAAAGCGATTATGGAAGATAATGGAACAGATCACATTGCTAGGAGCACAGCTCAGGATAAAGGTGGGATCACAGGGTGAGCCTGAAGAATAAGAAAATAAAACAATTTAAATACCATTAATATTCACATAAAAACACACTTTCATGATTAACAGTAAGGTTCTTTAGGAATTTTAGGCACTATATTACATACAAATTCTCCTGACAGCAAAATATTCAGCATGCATTCAAACAACACATCACATTTACCCTAAAAGATGAGTTGGCCATTATAATCTAGCTAAGTAAAAGAGTTTAATATACTCAGTTGACATCCACTGCACTTACTTCCAAACTTTATTTATTTATTTATTTATTTATTCATATGTGCATACAATGTTTGGTTCATTTCTCCTCCATTCCCCCCACCCCCTCCCTTTCCCCCCACCCCCTTGCTGCCAGGCAGAAACTGTTTTACCTTTATCTCTAATTTTGCTGAAGAGAGAATATAAGCAATAATAGGAAGGACCAAGCGTTTTTACTAGTTGAGATAAGGATAGCTATATAGGGAGTTGACTCACATTGATTTCCTATGCATGTGAGTTACCTTCTAGGTTAATTCTTCTTGATCTAACCTTTTCTCTAGTTCCTGGTCCCCTTCTCCTATTGGCCTCAGTCACTTTAAAGTATCTGCATTAGTTTCTCTGTGTTGAGGGCAACAAATGCTATCTAGTTTTTTAGGTGTCTTACCTATCCTCATACCTCCCTTGTGTGCTCTCGTTTCCAAACTTTAAATCTCAGCTGTTTGCTATTATGGATGAAAAGGAAAGATTTTTTAACCTAATAATAAGTCTTAATAGCAGAATCACATCTGTCTGGGTGTTGGGAGAAAATTTTTCTAAACTGAAAGGAAGAACCAGAAACTTGTTACATGAAAGGACTAGGTGAATGAATAGTGTGTTCTCCAATAGAAGAAAGAAATTGTAACGTTGGTGAGTTTATGTGTCTCAAGGAAAAAATGCAGAATGTATCCATGGGAAGATAAAAGTTATATATAGATCAATAAGTACAATATGTTTATCACTAAGATAAATGGAGAATTTTTTATTTCAAATATTTCATGTATAAGGCAAACATACATAGTTAACTAATAAGTATAGTCTGACTATTTTCCATTTTGATACATAAAAAATAGAAACAAAAGCAAAAATGAATTTCCTTTCTTTGGAATTGAATGTCCACAATCTCATACATATATGAATGTCCATTCTCTCCATTTAAACTTCACATTTAACTCTTTGAGACGAAGTTATTTTATGGCTACTCTGATTTTGTTGTATTAAGCCATCAAGGGCTAGAGGCATTGCTCAAGTGGTAAATCGCCTACCTAGCTAGTGTGAAGCCCTGAGTTCAAACCTCAGTACATATATATATATATACATATATAATTAACCAGGGAGAGGATGGTATGACTTAATAATTTACATTTTTAGTTCATCAGTTAGGGAAAATCTATTACTTTGCAGGTAACAGAATTGAAGAATTTTTTTTCATTTTTGTTGGTAATTTATACCACAAAATTGCTATAATAAAATTGTCCATGAACTTTTTATACAAAGTACTCCAAATTCACATCAGCCAACCCTAAAGTTATCTTAAATTGAGAGTGTTTGGGATACATATGAAGGTGTTTTGAACAATAAAAAATTTGTTGAGACAGCTGCTTGTGTATCATTTCTTTTAACCATTATGGGATCTAAACTTTTAGAACTGGAGGAGGAAGAGATAAAGGAGACCAGTAGAGGAAGTGAATTCAAGTATGATATATTTGATACACTATAAAATCCTGTGTAAATGTTACAAATGTAGCCCCACTAAGCAAAACAATAAAGAGTGAAAAAATAGAAAAGTTTTATTTTATTCATGGAATTGAAAGCTTTGGTGGTTGTGTATGCTTGTGTGTGTGTGTGTGTGTGTGTGTGTGTAAGATTCACAGGAAATAATGGTTCTAATCCTTTTCAATTGATTTGCAAGGAAGAATTTAAAAAGCAGGTCATTTAGAATTCAAGCTGTTAGGGCTGGGGACGTGGCTAAAGAGATAGAGCATTTGCCTCCCAAGTGTAAGGCCCTGAGTTCAAACTCCAGGTAACAACAAAAAGTAATAATAATAACAATAATCCAAGCTGACAATCAGGTTCATTTTGTCAAACACTTCTTAGGGAATTTGAGCTCCCAGTGGGAGGGAAATAATTGTCATAAATTTCTAAACAGGTCAAATAGGCAATTCTGAATCTAAAGACAGAACACATTTAGGAAAGACTAGATTAGAGTTACCATTAATTGTTGAAATCTTGGTAAATGAATTAATTTATAAGTTATAGTTTCTCTATTTTACAGAATTTATTAAGCCAAGACATATAGATCAACCTTGGAAGTGTCAGGGAATAAGGAATAAATAAAGATAAGTGTGATGAGTTTACAGAGAACACTAACTGATGAGAAATGTATTAAGATAGAGCTAAACGTGGCTGGCAGAGTGGCACAAGTGGTAATACCCTGAGATAGAGTGCTGCCAAAAAAAGCAAAAAAGAGAGAAAAATACAGTTAAACAAATACAGCAGTGCAGACCACCATTTCTATTATATTTATGGAAACTAAGTATATTAAGGCAAACTATGAGATGTATTTCTGAAGATAATCATGTAAGTATTGTCGATTTATGTGAGAGTATATATCACTTGGAAACATCCATGTAAGTGTGTGTTGGAGTCACTGCCACGATAACCACATATTTTCTGGTGAGATGATCAGTAATAGGTGAATCACATTAATGATAAGGAAAACGGATCATTAATTTTCAGAAAGTAAGGTCAAGACCTATATTCAAGTTTTTTTATTTGAGAAAAAGAAAGAAATTGAGCAACAATATGAAGTTATGAGAATGCTATACCCACACTGGAGGCAGTCATGCCTGTACAAGCACAGCATGGATATTAAAACACTCTATTGGCTCTCTCTTTCAAATCATCCTTCCTTCCCATGAGTTCACTGCCAAGACCCAAATTGAAACATGAAATCACTTCTGAAATAAACCCAAGGACCACATTAGAGAATAGAGAAGTCTATTGAGATCATGATATGAAATATGGCCCACCATTGGTTTTTCTCAACTCCTCCACAAGACAGGATGCTTCCTCTTGAACACGGTCCTCAATGCTCCTCTTCCCCATCCCAAAATTCCTCAGAGTCATGAGAGAGAAGCGCCTCGTCTCTTTCCAGTATTTTCCATTGCTGAAAACAATTCCTAAAAGAAGATCACAAAGGAGATGATAGGCAAGGAAGGAGATGCTTTTGGCTTTCTACCACAGAGATGGCCAAGCTCTGCCTAAGCACATTTTCAAGTCTTTCTTTTCCATCCTCCTCATAACCATGACTGTTGCCCAGCACACACTGGCACATACTTGCACACTTACCAAGGCCTATGTTAATTTTTTCAGACATTGCTGATTTGCCTCTTCCAGAAAACTCCTCCCCATAATCAACCAAGGCTTCCTTTACAGCCTCATATCCATGCAGCACCACAGCGGGCTTCATTCCCAAATACAAAGTGAATATGGGACCATAAACTTTTGAGAACTGAAAGAAGGTGAAAATTGTGAATATTACTAAAAGAATTCATATTTGGTGCATATATTGTGCCTTATTCAGACAGATGTTATAGCTGTATTTTTTATGCTTACCAACATACCTTCAAATATTTGTGAAGTTCACATTTAAATATAATGATAGTGATACCCATCACATATGCATGCCCTATCATATGCTATGCACTGGTCAATGAAATGGATACACTGATTATAAGTAAACCTAACATCAACACAGTCAGAATGTGTTTTTTTGTCCTGTTTCTCAAAGAAAAAAATCTGAGGTCAGAGAATTTTCAATTCATTTCCAGGGTGCCATGACTAATGAATAAAACACTTTAATTTGGACCTTTCTGTGTAAACTACTGGATGATGCACAAAGAGTTATATCATCTCAAAACTACCTTTAAATCAATACACAAATAGGTGTTTCAGTGTAATCTGTAAATAATTTCCCTGACTCAGGGGCACAGAGATGAACAAAAGAACGCTGTATTTTTAAGTCACCACCAGTGATGTCTTACTCCAGTCAGGTTTGCATTCTACTGGTGTTACAAACTCAGAGATTTGGCATGGAAGAGTCAACACCAGAACATGAAGCATTTCCTGAAAAAATAGTTTCTTCTACCCTGCAGCATTCTGGGCACCAGACACATGATATTTTCACCATTCAAAGAGATTCAAATCACAATCAGGTATTAACTTTTTGTGTGCTTTTTATTTCTTAAGCTGTTTCAGATATATAACTGTTTACTTGACATCAGATTTACTTTTATTCTTCAGGAAAATTTAGCTTTCATGGAAATGCAAAAATTCACAGCTAATATGTTATACAACTTACTGAATGTATATGTACATAAGACAAAGAAGAGAAGAAGAATTCATAATTTGTGTCACCTTGTAGTTTTGATTCCTGTACAAGGAGCTAAATATTTCGCTCATCAGAAAAGGCATTACTTCATTGTGTAATTTTTTACTGTGACAAATTGAAAAAGGTAATAGGTACATCAAAGCTTACAGGGAGCATTTAGTTTCACAATCACCTATTATAATAGTGTGCCTAAGGCAATATATTTTATTTAAAATCAGAAGTCAATTTACTTCCCTTTGCAAGCCTATGGAGAATAATAAGGCATACTTACATCGGCTAAGGATTTGCTCATCTGCTTAAAATTTATCTGCAGGATATTTCCAATAATTGGAAGAGGAGTGGGGCCAGGAGGAAGTTTCTCTCTTCCAGAGCTCCATCTCCATAGTGAAAGGAGAAGCAGACAGAACACACTGAACCCCAGGACTAAGATTGGATCCATGGAAGTCTTCTCTTGTTGCTATAATGCAGGCAAGCTCAAAACCCAAATCCCTATAAACCCAATGCCAGTTCGCCTTTGATTTGTTGATACCTGACTGGCCAATCAGCTATATGCATTTTATTCTCTTTCATGTCTCCTCAGAGTGAACTTTGATCCAATGATAGTGACAAAAATAATGTTCTCTTATCTTTTTCATATATTAGGACTGAGAAGTTGGAACTTAGAGACTCAGTACTTGGCTAAGAAAGCAATGCATATACTGTGTACATATGTATGTAAATGGCAAAATGATATCTGTTGAAACTATTCAAAGAATAAGGGGAGGCAGGTATGAAAGAGAATAGTTGAGGGGGTATATTCAAGTATGATATATTTGATATGTCTTAAGAACTTTTTATATGCCACAACGTATTCCCACCTAGATTAATAATAAAAAATAAAACTAATCAAATTAAATATGGAAGATTTTCAGCTTTGTAAATCAGCAACACCTTTGTGTATATATATTTATATATTCACATGGACACATTATATATTTAGTAGAATGAAAAACAAACAGAAATGATGTTATGTGCAGTGAGACTTGTATGTGATGCATGAATCAATGTTTGCCAGCATTGATGCCATCTTCAAATTTAAATCCTTACATAGTTAAAATCATATTTCAAGTTTTTAATAATTTTTCTAAATACTGAAAATTATATTAACAATTATATTAAAAAACAACAAAAATATGTATGAGTAAATATATTTTTTTAGAAACATAAAAAAAACGAACCCAAAAACTGCTGTTGGTAGAGCTGAGGCTGGAACCTACATTCCCTGTGTCTTGACCCTTTTCTCAAAGGAAGACATTTAGTTTTACAAGGTTCACTAACTTTCATTGGCAGTGTAATATGGATCGATACTCAGTGATTATTCTTAATCAGTTACACGTAAAATAAACATAGATTTGGTTAATAATTACAGCACCAATTGACTAAAATAGGGGTTAGAAAAGTTTGTTATTACATACTTTAGAACTAGAGTGATCCCAACTCATTGTGAGCCCATTATCCAGAACAAAACAAACAATAATTTATATTTGATTCATGTAGCTCTAACTTCAAAAGTACCACATCAGCTTATTTTTGCTAGTACAATTTCAGTGGCTTTCTCTACTAAGAAGCATCTTTTTAATTCCTTGAGAGATATGTTTTCCTGTTTTGCTTTTCCTTCCTTGTACTGAAGTGAGGCTCCTGCTTGGATCTTTTATGTATTGAAGAAGGAAATGTAATTTAAATCTAAAAGGGATATTTGAGATCATGGGCTCTATAGTTTGTTTTTAAGAGATGAGCACTTGGTGGTGTACTGAAATAAAGTGTCACCAGTTCATCATTTCGAAGCCTTGTCTCAGAATCCTGGTTCTCCAACCTGCAGCTTGCTGACCTCTCACTTATACTGTGCAAATTCTAACCTCAGTCCAAATACTTAGGAGAATTTCAACATTAATCCTTTGAAGCTTACAATGTAATGCAAACCTCAGCTTGGCTGTAGTTGGGGACTTGATTTCATTTCTTAATAATTAATGAAAATTATATTTTTGAGAACATTGAGGATCACAACAAAATGTGAAGTACACAGCTCCAGTATGAATGTTCCCACATCCACAGTCTCTCCTATAATCAGCAACCCTCACCAGTGTGGCTCATTAGATACAGTTGATACGTGAGCATTGACATATCAGCATTCAAAGTTCAGATCACATGTCATTCAACTGATAAGAACAACACCAAAACAATACCACAATATACTTGATGCAGATAGATGGTAAAATACATCCAAATAGATTTCAACAGCACATTAAGAAGATCATACACCCAGATCAGGTTGCTTTCATCCAAGGGATTTGAAGGGAGTTCAACATACACAAATCAATAAATTGAATACAACATGTAAATAGTATCAAGAGTAAAATTCACATTATCAACTTGATACATGCAGAAAAATCTTTCATAAATTTCAATATGCTGTCATGATAAAATATTAAACAAACTATTTTCAACATAATAACTCAATATAATAATGGTTAATGCAACAAAGCCACAGCTGGCATCATACCAGATGGGGAAAAATCAATGCATTTCCTCTAAATTCAGGCAGGTGACCACTGTTACTCAACATATTACTTGAAATTTTAGCCAGAAGAAATAGGTGTAAGGAAAAAGAATAAAAGGGATTCAATTAGGAAAGGAAGAACTAACATTATTCTTGTTTTCAGATGATTTGATTTTATACTTAGAAGACCCGAAAGAGACCACAAAAAGATTATTAGAACTAACAAATTTGGCAAAGTAGAAGGGCAGAAAATCAATTTTATCAAAATCAATAGTTTTTTTGTACATCTATAGCAACCTTGCTACAAAATTACACTAGGAAAATAACCCCACACAGAATAGCAGCAAAAATAAACCAAGCATGGCGATATACAGCTATAATCTTAACTTCTAAAGAGGTAGAAGGAGGACAATCAAGAGTTTTAGGCCAGCCCAGGAAACATTAGCAAGATCTTATCTCAAAAATATAATGCAAGCAAAAGTTCTTTAGGTGTGCTTCAATTAGTAGAGTGTTTGCATGAGTTAAGCCCTGGGTTTAAACCCCAGTACTGCAAAAATCAAATAAAATGAACAAACCATCTGAAAACAAGGAGGTGAAAGACTTCTACAGTGAAAATTATAAAACACTGAACAAAGAAATTGAAGAAGACATGAGAAGATAAAAATCCCTCTGAAGTTCATGGATTGGAAAAATTAATGTTGTTAAATGGGTATATCAAAAGGAATCTACACATCCAATGTAATCCCTGTCAAATGTTGATGTCATTGTTTATAAAACTAGAAAGTGTGATGCTATACCGTGTATGGTATCAGAAAAGACCCAGAATAGCCAAAGCAAATCTGAGCAAATAGAAATTCTAGAGACATCCCAATAATTGATTTCAAAATGTACTATAAAACCATAGAATAAAATAACATGGTATTCACACAAAACAACACACAGAATACAATAAAGGTTGCAGGAATAAACACAAATACTTACAGCCATCTGATTCTCAGCAAAACTCCAAAAACATACCTTGGATAAAAGGCAGCCTGTTCAGCAAATTATGCTAGGGAAACTAGATATCCACATATAGAAGATTCAAGCTAAACCTCTATATCTCACCATATACAAAAACAAAATGAATCAAAGACATTAAGACAAAATTCTGAAACTACTAGGAAAAAGAAACATAGGGTAAACAGCTCAAGATGACCCAGAAAATAATTTCTTTACCAGCTACTCTTCTAATTATTAATATCCAGAATATGTAAAGACTGAAAAAAGTTTAACAACAAAGGAAAATGCAACAAAGTCAGTAAACAGGCAAATGATTTAAACAGACTCCACTAAAAAGAAGAAATATATATTGCCAACAAATATGTGGAAGAAATACTCAATATGTTTAGACAGGAGAGAAATTTAAAGAAAATTACATCCCATGCCACCCAATGAAAATGACAATTATCCAAAAGCAAAAACAAAGTAAAACAAAAAATTAAACCAAACAAACAAACAAAAAAAACCAACTTCTCATGAGAATATGGAGTAAAAGGAGCCCAGAATGACTGCTGGTAGGAATGAAAACTAGTACAACCATTCTGGAAAACAGTATGAATTTTCCTCAAAAATCTGAAAGGAGAACTGACATGTGATGAAGTTCACCACTCCCAGATATATTCTAGAAAGATGAAGTCACTGTGGAAGAGAGACTCCCTGAACACCCATGTTCATTTCATTGATATTGACAAATGCCATCATATGTAATCAGTCTAGGTGCCAGTCAAGAGGTGATTGAATAAATAAAATATGGTGGAAAAGCCAAAAAGATTATTACTAAGGCAAAAGGAAGAACAAAAATGTCAAATTCAAGAAAATGGTTGTAACTTAAGGTCATTATGTTAAGTAAAATAAGCCAGATTAGAAAGACAGTATTGCTTGTTTTCTCTCATATGTGTAAAAAAAAATCATTGAAAAATGATGACTTGAAAGACAAAGAGCAAGTATAATGGAAGATAAAAGGAACTGAGGAGGAAGATGGAGGAGGGAGGAGAAGTTATTGGAGAGGGAAGATTCAAAGAAAAATGGTGTATTCATGCTTGGAAACGTCCCAGAGAAATCCATAAACCTGTACTATTAAAACTTAAAAAATTTGATAGAAGCAATAGTGAAGTCATCATTTTCTATACTTTGTCAGGATATTTTTTTTTACTCCTTATATCTCACTATTTATTATTGGAGTGTTTAGGTAATTTATGTCTTCATGGTCAATTTTGATAACTTATAAGTGTACAGAAAACCATTTTCCGTAGGTGTTCCAATTTATTTGTTATAGTTGTTCATATTAGTCTCTACTGGGCTTTTGTATTTCAGTTCCAATACCTTTAACTTGCTATCCTTGCACTCTATTCTATCTATCTCAGCTTGGGTTCTTCATCACTCCTATACAGAAAATGACAGAGTCAACTTTATGTCAGTATGCCATGAACCTTGGTGTAAAATTCTTAACAAGGTGACCATCAAAAATCACTGAGTATTTCCTCTATACAATAATAATTTTGTATTAAACATATTTATTTTCATTTAAAATTCATTTTCATATGAATTGTTTTACTTTTGATAAAACAATTGACTAATTATGATTTGTAAATTAGTTATATTACACTTACATAATAAAAACTGTTCTCATTTAATTGTATTCCCTAGTTTGTTTAAGTAAAATTTTTTATTTGGTGAGCTTATCTATGTCCATAAAGAAAAACCTTTAACTCACCAAAATAATATTGAATATCAAAAGACACTTCTTTGCTATTATGTTTTATGTACCATCATGGTAACAATAAAGAGAAGGTATGGGTAACTCTCAGGACCCCCAAAGCCTCATGGAAAAGAGCAGTCACTGTAGCTTTTGTACAACAGCC